ATGTTCTGAGTGCGATTTCAAGCAAGATTGTGCATGGTATTTCGATTTAGCAAACTGACCACTGAAATTAAACTAGTTTTACGAGAGTGTTTGCAGCGATTACTCTAAACAAAATGCTAGATTTCCAATTTGTGTTTGAATGAGATCTGTATACGAAGGAAATAAAAACACTAAAACATTTAAAATTAATGTACAAACAAGTAGCCGGAAGATGGTAGGTGTTGTAAGAAAGTCAAAATAGACATTACATGATTGCCTTTTCTAACTGTTTTCCATAAAATGTAAAGGACCCAGTGAGCAAAGCTGATCAATTTTAATAGTAGTAGGCAGAAAAGGTCAGTAACAGGACAACAACTAAACAGTGTTATGCCGCATTACTTGCTGTGTATTGTAGTCACCTTCTTCAGGGTTAGTGCAATAAACTAATTGTTACATTCGTCTCTTCATTTTTTTATGTATAAATTCACATGGAGGGTTAAAACACTTAGTCCAGAGTTAGTAGATTGGTATTGTAACATTTATTAAAATAATGTGAGGGTTAATAAGAACAGCAAAGAATCAATGAAATAAAATGCAAGCATGTGAAAAAAACAAATTCATCTAGAAACCAATGTGTCTAATGAAGTCATCAAGTTTCTAACTTAAAGCCAAAGAAAGACAACACTGCCATTAATAAACTACTGCAAAACCATTGGTATTCATTGGTTATCAAAATGTTGGGTTTTCTATATTTTTTCGCTTTATCAGGAAAAAATTCTTGAATGTTATATATAACATACAAAAACAAGAGTATAGAAAAATACATTATAAACTTGTAACAATGGTTGTAAATACATTATCTTACATGTCTTTAGGCAATAAGTTGGTTATGGTACATACATAGCATGGCTCTACTTCTTAAATAGCTGACTCATACATGTCAACTATATGGCTACAAGCGACACTCCCATCTAAATCACTCTTTAGAAATACATAACACTGTCAGAAAAGGTACGAAGATTTCCTTTCCTCCAAACTACTTCTGAATATCTATTGAAAGAACACCCCAAACAATAGTAATACTGAGGTCAAGGGTATACACAGATTTTGTTTTTTTAAAGTAGTCATACTTGTTCAGGAAATATGAAATCAACAATTGACAATCTTTCAAGATGCATTACACACAAATATTTGATACATTTAATCTTTCTTTTAAACCACATGTCCTATAGCAAACCTATGTTCATTCTGCAGGTTTATGAAAATAGAAATAAAGTTGGTCTACAATTTCTCCCCTTTTTGCAGTCACCGCCACGACTATCCGTTGAGTGTCGCAAGTTTTGCTCAAAAAAATTAGATGGCACAACATGAAAAATGGGCATGTTTGAAGGATCAGTTGGATATCACTAATCAGGAAGACAAAGCTGGTGGCACAACATTTAAAGCTGGCTGGATAGGTGGTCATGGTTTTACACTTGTTGCATAGTAAATAAATTTTGTTTCAAAATGAGTACAAGAATTTGTATTATTTTTACCATGCAAGTGTTTTATAGCAGCCCTCTTACAACAATTCACTTTCCTGCCAAAAAATGGTAGGATCTTTCTCTTGGAAGTTTTCAATGATTGATATTTTTATCAAAAGGATCCTTAGTGGACATAAATGAGCCAGTAGTTTGGTCACCCAATATACGCTGCGCTACAGAACTACTCTACCTGCCTGTGTGGTGGGATACCAGCCAATTTTCCACAAATGGAAATGGAAGCTGGCATTTCAAGGTTAAAACATAAGTTTAAAATCTGTAGGGAGTCCTGTTCAAAATAAAAATCACAGCTCCTGCTCAGGAATAGTTAAGACACTGAACAGGTTTGGTTGTGCAGTTTCAAATTGTATCTTTCCTAATTTTTTAAATGATCTGAAGCCTGCATACCTAACCCAATTTAGAGCCACAATTGAAAATGTTCCTTTATAAATCAAGGCTTTTGTATTGCACAATGCACACCCAAACAGAATCGTTTCCCCCCCCGCCTGTACATGCTATAAAATGTCTATCAATTAAGTAATTACGGGGAGGAAAACAAACACTTGGGAGTACTTAAATGATTTTGTTTTAAGCTACCCCTGTCATACACACCTTAGTTCAAACAGTGAAAGTGAATCAGTGCAATGCGATTTAAAATTGGGTCATCAAAGCCCTAGCTAAATAAATATTTCAACCTTACAATGTGAATGCAATCGATTAATTCACCCCTATTGTGTTTCCTAAAATAAAAGTGGTCACAAATCCGTGTTCATTCATATTTGATAATGTGACTGATATTTTTCTCAGTGAAAGGAACAGTGTATTCATTCACCCAGAATTTTTCCAGTGAAACTAAAGATACCTAAACTAAAGATCAAGATAGCTATTTTTTCTTTGTCAGTGTTCAAATATTCACTGAGCAGAATGGACACCACAGCAGCCTTTTTGTTTAAGCTAGCGCTACGCAACAAAGGGCTGCAATTTTGCCAATGCTGAAAGCACATCTGGGATTACATTCTGAAAATACATTTGACAAATTTGAACCTATCAGCAACCGAGGTCCCGAGACATCAGGCATGAGATAGTAGAATTGGTAATCTCTCTCAATCTGAGCACTGGCAACACCTACTTTCTGTCATGCTTCTTTCCGTCATGCTCTAAGATCAGGGAAAACTAGAAACCTACTTGTCGGGGGTAAAACTGAGCGACCGCCAGATGGAAAAATAGATTCCTGGCAGCAGTAGCATTGCCTGATACCACTAACAGGAAAATCACTCCCAGGCCTCTCCTTGCTCTGGTTAGGTTATCATTCAAAACCTTGCAACTGTTTCAGTCTCGTTCAAGGTCTGTTAATTCTGCTGTTTTGCAGACTTTGGGAGAGAAGTTAAAGACAAGAAGGATTATTCCTGTAAAATCTGAACATTATTTATGTAGCTAACTTTACGGTCAGGTTGAGACACACAATTAAGTGGATTTTAAGTTCTAGTATTTTTTCTCTTCCATTTTAAAATCCTATACATGACAACAAAAGGGATGGTGCCTGTTTAATATGTGGGAATCCACAGGGAACGATGGCTTTGAAGGTTTTCTTAATAAAACCAGGGAGTGTACAAATCGATGTCACAGTCACAGTTATGGCAAGCCATGGGTTCAGTGACGTGGAGCTAATCGGGCACCTCAACTGCCAGCTCATTTTTATTCACTTGCGGATCCTTTCAAGTACTTAGTGGGCAGCTAAATTGCATGCGTTAACCTTGTATTCAGCACATTGACTGATTTATGAGACACCAGACAAAATGACCATGAATAAAATAAGGCACTTCTTTCTTTAGACATTTTCCAATCTTTACAATTTGACAAAAAAAGGAAAAAAGAAAAAAAGGCTGTTTTGGTCTTTTGTTGCTTTGTTCACAACCACCAGAAAATCATTTAATGAAATAAAGGGTTTCTTTGTTCAGGTTTTGTTGAATACTTGAAAGTATAAAAGACTACATTGTCAAAAATATATTTCTTCTTACCAGCACCCTTGTATAGGAAAATTATTGACTTTTTTGTTCTTTTTGTGGTCTGTTTCAATGCACTATGCTTATCTACAATTTCATTACATGTATATAGTAAATAGGCAAGCATGGCTTTACATCCTTGAGGAAACAATCTATACAAGGAAGAAAAATAAGATTCAACAATTTGCCCAGTATCCTGACGCATAATGCATGGACCCTTGTTGTCAAAGAATCTGATGGACCTGGATACTCCCATTTTACTAAGTGTTGTACAGTAATTCAGTCCTCTTTTTAACATGTTCAATGATTTTTGCTCTAATGACACAAACATCATTTTAGGAAATTCTAAACTGGCAGGTCGGGGTCATGACTTCACATCTGTGCCCTCAAGGAGCAGAGAGGAATTGAAAAGAAACTGGCCAAATTTTGAAACATCAAACTTCATTCAAAAAACCCTTCTTCACCAATGACATCACTGACCAAAGGTTCATGCATGATGCATCATAACAAAATACATTCAGGGAACTCGTGACTTCACCATGAGAAAAACGGTTCTTCAAACTCCCACAGTAACTGGCATTATCAGGAGCTATTCATAGACATCCATCTCCTGTCTCCAAGATGAGGCCTTCTTACCGTTCGTTCGTAGGGAGGGTCGCTAAATGATGATCACTGGTAAACAGTGCTGAGGGATGAATTGAACTTTATTGCTTTAGTACTATTCAGTGCAGGTTCTAGGACCTCACAGTTCACCCAACCAGAAAAACTAAGAGGCTGGATAATTTTTTTGTTTTGTTTTCATTGTTAGGCAGTAAGACGAACGGACAGTGCCTCAGCTCGCTGCATTGAAGACAGGCAAGCAAAGGCGATTACCAGTTAACTGATCAGCAGGCAGGCATGGTCAGGTCATCATTGGGTGAAGAGTTCAGAGGTCAGAAGGTCATAGGTTAGTTGCCGGTGGCGGCTGGGTGGTTAGAAACAAAAAAAGGAAGAAAAGAAAAAAGATAGAGAAGAGATTAGTGTCAGCTAGTGACGACTGGATGACAACATGAAAAACTAATCACGACTAATAAAACGAGCACTTCATTTCTGACGTACTGATTGACACCATCTACAGAATGCCTCAATCATGGCAGCTTTGCATCATGATTCGAAAGATGGAAGAGGAACCCACTCCCACAATTAGTTAACAGGGGAAAAAATAAACTAAGTACTAATGGTTAGTAGCAGTCAATGGAAGAGCTTGAGAAATGATAATCTGATCAGTGAGTTAAGGAAAATAACTTGTATTTGCAGTTCAATGTTCTTTCGTGTTTGGTATTCCTCAGACAGGACACAATTAAGCGCCTGACTGCTATTAAGCATTAGCGTTCTCCCAAATGCAAGCACAAAAAAGCAACTATTAATGATGGATGTGATTAACTGGTTATTAATAAAGAAGAAATGATTTAAAGAGTTCACAGGACAAATTTAACATAAACTATGGGCAAAAAACAAGTTGTTCAATAAAATTTTATTGCCTTTGAATTCTTCTATTTACAATATGAAATTCTTGGCCTCAAAATACAAGCATTTCTAAATCATATGACTAGCAGTGTAGGCTACATCATGGGAACTTGGAAGAGGCCAAGTATTTTACTTTATTCAACATATTCCAGTTGAGAGTACTATTGTACACTTATAGGACAGTCTTGTATAAAATGCATTTGCATGTAAACACAATAGAAGTCCTGCCGTTTCAAAGTCTACATTTATAAAGCCCTAAAAATATATCCAAAAATAGATGAATTTCTACTTGACACTATAATGCACATTTTAAACTACAAACAGCCCTCTTTATTGAATTTCAATGCTAATACTCTGCAAATACAATAAAATCTCACATTTTCATATACATTCCTGCTTTATATTTTTATATTTTTTTAAAAGAAGCCACCTGTAATACTATTTTCTTTGCAAAAAAATTAAAAATGGAGATGATTACAGTAAAACAAAAGTTCTCAAGTGGAAAATGATAAGTCACAGCGTTCTGGAACCGTTCTGTTTTGCACTCTTTTGTTCTCTGATTCCCCTTCACCCAACTTGGTCCACTTAATGTAAAATAAGACTTTTGTTCAACAGCTTAACATGTATCAAAATTCTGAGGTTCCAAAAGATTGTACTGTTGGCCGCAAGACATAAACAGAGGAGATGAAATAAATTATTCAGTGCAAAGTCAAATTTGTGCCGTTTCAGCAAGATAAAGTAGGTGTAATGCTCAATGACAGCATCCCTTTTGATGGCCTAGACATTAGCTGTATTTAAATCACTATTTCATGGACAGGTTTCCAATTGTGGGCCTCGTCCTCCTCAGTCTAAAAAAAATTACATTTTTAACTGATTCACATGGAAGAACTACACATTGGCTCAGGTTAAATATGTGAGCTAAAAGTAGTGGGCATCAACCAGCAGCCAATATTTGAGAAAAGATTTGCACTGGATGGTGCTCATCCAAGCAATATCACTATAGTGGTACCTCTGAGTTCATGATGGTACAATATCTAATACTAAGATGACGCTACTTTTAAGGCACCCATTAAAAATGGAGAGAAAATTGATGCCACAGTAATCATTTTGATATTCCAAAATTAAGTTTCAAGACAATTTGCACATTGATCGTTAGGAGTTTTTAAAAATATATTTTGTCGTGAGTTACCTTTGAGTTTGAGTTTCTGAGGATGTTTAAATACTATAATCTGCTCACAGAAGATGATTCAGTTATAGTTCATCATCTTTTAAAATATACAGCCAAAAAGGGCCAACAAAATGGCTATTATTTCTTTGATCAACCAATACACCTGCCATAAATCCTCTGTTCAGTCCAAGGCTTTCAGTACACACAGGTTCAATAACTGTGCAACACAAAGTGGAGTTTATTCCAATTACTTCAGTCAGTCTGTCTATCTTGCTATTTGTACCAAATGCAATTTTGTAAAAATACACTACAGGATCATGTTCTTAGCAGTAAGGAGCTATGCAGTCATCAACCCATCACCAATCCTAAATGCTTAGTTAAAAGTAATAAATCTAAATCAACAGGAATTTTTTTTTACTGTTGCAAAATTCATGCTAAAGAAACATTTAATCCTATGCAAAGAAAGAGAACCACCTATCTAACAACCTACCAACAGCAGTAATTAAAATAATTTGAAGAAGCTATTATATTGAATATAGAAATCCCTTAGACCCAGTTGGCAGACATTGCTGGTTTTGAACAGCAATACTCTTTAATAAATAAAATGTCCACAAATTTACTGTAGAATACAAAGCGATAATTTAGACTTTTAACACTCCTCTCGATGCTGGCTGATAATCACCATTGAACGTGTACACTTTGCATTTGTGGATGGCAGTAAGGCAGCAAAGCAATGGAACATGGCGAGTGATGGAAAGCTGACTTTCAGTATGTTTAGAGTTGGTTTTAACTCCATTGCTATGCACCAGATTCTCCCATACTATGTGTTAAAAAATATCTTCTTATGCAGGCTTAACTTTTAAAATGTAAAGTGCACTTCAAATATTGTATTTTTCAAAAACAAACCCTTAGGAAGATGATAATGGGAATAATTTTGTTATTTTACAAATAGCCATGCTGAATATTGTACAAATGGAAGGCAATAGAATACCCTTCCATATGTTCTGAGGAGCCAAAGGTCTACATTGCCTTAGGTTGATGCGATGATGCCTTTAAAGATTAATCAGATCATAAGAACCTTATCTGCCAAAACTTGGTGTATGTTAATGAGCCCAAAGTACTCTTTCATACTGTAATTTTATTTTCCACTTGTGGGTCTAAGGGTGTGTATGTAACTATGGCAACAATTAGGCTGGGAAAAATGAACATTCAGTTTCCTGTTAAATTCTCTTGTAAAAACTCTGGGGAGTAAAACAAAATTCAAACAAATTGCTACCCATCTCAAGATAACATGGGCCCAATGTAGATTGTAAAGAGTACTACATGGATTAAAGAAATCATGTTCAATATTGTACAAAATGATTTTATAAAGGCACAGGGACTTATTTTCTTCAAGGAAAAGGAATCAGCTTTTTCAGAAGTAATTTTGAAATGTCCTTTCCAAACCTTATATTCCTTTCTTTAATAAATGCTAGCATTTCTTCTCCCTCCCTAACACTAAATATATGTCGACAGTTAGGAACATGCATCTCAATAGCTATCATTTACCAGGCAAGGAACAGGAAGTCTAATATTCTCTTTCTCCAGCCTAATACACAGAAGCCCTCCAGTCTCACAGTCTAATGTAATGTGCCTCCATTTGAAAGTTCTTACAAAGCTTTGCAACAAAAATCTGAAGTTATTGAGTAAAGTGGTATTTACGTTTATTAAAAAAGGACATGACTGGCCCTCATTCTATTTGGACCTTCTGTCAACTCCACCTGATCTGATGTTGCAAAGCAGCACCTTTCAGTCAACATTTGCCATAAAACAAGAACTCCAGAACTAAACTAACCTCGGTCTGCGGTCACAATCCTTTGGTAAGGATGGACGCGCATATCGTGCCTTCGAACTTTAGTAGCCACTGCACCTAGTTAAATTGCAACATTTCCAACATAAGGTTAGAGGAATTTCCTAGGAAGTGATTGGTTAACATTTCATCAATAGCATTTCAACAGCAGATTATCAAAGATGAGTTTACATTAGAAATTATTACTAGACATCAATTATAAAACAAGTTAAGGCACAGCACCTTTATAACTCGAACTTTTACGTAGAAATTACTAAATACAGAGCACAATTGTGCACGTTAATATTGCATTCCATTTCCAAAGACATGGTCTTAACCAACTGTCATTATTTGTTTGTTAAAGATCCCACTGTACGATATTAGAGCTAATTCAATTAGACCCAAGCGCAATTTAGCTTAATAGTCACATAATCAGTGGAGTGCTTCTTGCAGAAAAACACATTTTAATTCATCATAACACTGAATCAATATTGAGACCTTTTTTTTCAAAAAAACCTCTGCAGATTAAGAGTTCTGCAGCAATTGTCTCAGCCTACAAAATGCGCACTTAACGCAGAAGCTGCTAGCTACAATTTGCAATGAATTAGGATCTGGAAAGCAAACAGTATTGGATGAACCCTACACCAAGCAGACAATGAAATACTCTACATGTGGTGCCTCTGGGATAGATGCAATGAAGTGGTAGGAAAGACACAAGGCAGAATTTTAATTAATTGGCCCAATTTGTTTCCAAACAGACACCCAATGTGAGTATTTCACTGACAGTCGGGCTGGGCTCATTTTGTTTGTGGCTGCTGTGAAACTAAGCATTTGTTAAAAGTTCAGATTTGATGAGGTTTCAGTAACATGGTCCTTGAATTCTTAGCCTTTTGTTGGGAAAGCCATACCTGAAGATAAAAAAGGGAATTAGAATTAGTCTGTGGGCTATTCTTGCGCCTTATGAAGAAACATATTGGGTTATTGTCATGTTTAACCTTCCGAGTACTCAATGAATGCAGCGTTCAGAATACAAAGATTTTCCAACACCAGCTTCTGAAAGGATTTCAAATTAAATCACTGAGAATATTAAAGCTAAGATAGTAATCCAGGGAACCACTAACATTTCTGCATCCCATAGACTGAATTACAGGGTTGTTTTACTTTCAAAGCAGAAATGCTATAATCCTTGGTGAGTTACCCTGAAAATCGATGAAATTACTCTCTCATGGTTATTGGCGATATACTGCATGGTAGTGTGCACTGAGAATCAGTATAGGACCCATTTTAAAGCAAATTATACCCAGCTACTGGGGTGTCAGATGCAAGAATTATCATAATATGTATACAGCAGTGTAACAACACAGGCCGCTGGCTCAGTATGCCACATCGGTGGCTGTCAATACCACAGCGTGAGATAGGAATCATCGATTTGCTCCTCTAACTGTAGAGGTGCCACTGTGCTACAGACTTTGGACTAGGGTGGCGAATGACCTTAGTAGAGTCAAGAGTGAATACCTATGCAAACGCTGCAAACTTTGGAGAACAGGGAATGAGCCTACAACACTCACATCAAGCATTGTTGTTTAATGTGCCAAGAGAACAGGCTGGATGGATTATGTCTACATGAGAATTTAGACAAGTACCATTAGAAATAACATTTTAAAAACTAAATATGGTTATAATAAAATATAAAGATTCATAAATCTAGTGAAATGTTTAAACATAATTTTACTCGTTTTACCTTTATTCTGCATGGTTTATGGAACAAATGTACACATTACGAGTAATCTGGAAGTTCGGCTTGAAGCACACTGTCCATTAGCACAGCTACATTAATGTTTGTGTGGTGGCAGAACTACTGAGCCAGGAAACTTTATCTGACAAAGTATTCCTCCCTCCACAGCAAAATGCTCAGCGCAGAGACATTTTGTAACACGATTTTAATCTACAGCCCGAAAGGTCTAAACAGAGTTCCTGCAAGGAATTTAAAATGTTAATTTGCTGAATTTGTCTCCCTTTCCAAATGGTAATTCCAAGATAAATTCTAAGGATTTTTCATGATGTATGCACAATATTTTTCTTCACTTGAAAACAAATGTCAGGCCTAATCACATTTTCTTCTATTTATTGCTTGTTCTTTTCTTCTGCTTGATAAGGGCCTTCAAAGTGGTCTTTTTCATACAAATGTTACTTTACCTCCCCCAAAGTGTATTGGAACATTAATTCCTTCACTCCCTTGGTTTTAGTGAGAATGTTAGTTAAGGATAAAACCAAGTCTTTAAAAATGAAGTGTGGTGCAATTAAGAAATTATTTAACAAGAACCCTGGGTTTTGAATTAATCCTTCAATTAACAAATGGTGTATTGTAAACTCCTTAACCAGGCCTTTTTGATTTACTATAGTCCGGCTGATGTTTAGCTTTGTTTAAAATTTGGCAAAATTAATTTTAAAATGATTGGACAACTTATTTTCTTTTGTCTGAGGTGATGTGCCGTCGCTCGGCAAACACCATTAACAGACGGAAAAGGGTAAGTGAATGCCATACTGCCGGCCTTCTTCCACTTGAGATAGTCAGTAGGAAGGAATACTGAAGCAAGGTGGGTCTGCTTTTGTCTTCTCGTTTTTCACCTGCTTGTGAAAGACCACCTCTCCTTTACTTGGCACCCAGTTGAAGTTGGGAAATCATTGGATGGTTGGTGCAAATCAATCAATGGTTCAGTGAGTTAAGTATACAATCATGCTGTGCCAATGGTAATACAGTATATAGTTTTCTACTAGTAAAGTCTTGCTTGAACTCTGGTTCATACAATTTCTGCTGACAAAACTCAACACTGCTATTGAGTGTTTATTGATTGCACAAAAAAGGAAAATAGCAATATCAACTTAAGGATAATCGACTTTTGCCAGTAAAAAGGTTAGAAGAGAATGTACAAATCACAATCATAGAAGCCTTAGCTGCAGTAGTACATGATATTTAAATAACATTACTTATGCCATACTATTTTAGCTTGTTATATATTTTATTATACAGAGCAGATCTCCTTTATAAGGTGCTCCAATATTAAACAGCCTCTGATATAAGGCACACTTTTATGGTTCTCTCACAAATAGGAATCCCATATAAAACATGTGCTGATTGCAGTACCCTTTGGAGCAATTTGGTATTGTCAAGGGTGTCTGGTCGACTGTTCTGCCCTAGCTTAACTGCCACAGTTTCCATACAACTGTATGACAGTAACCACTGTAAAGCCAGAAGAGATATTCTGTTCATCATGACATTAGTTGCCAAAATCAACAAAGTTTTATATTGTGATGCTCTTATTCAGGCTTATAATTTGAATATTTCTTATTAAAATGAATGAGTCAAAATAACAGCAACTGTTTGGTTCAAATTCACTTAGGTGTGCTGCCAGAATAACGGGAAGCAGCAAAGATGTCTGGAGGATATTTGCACAGCTACTGATGGATTTGAAATAATCTTCAAGGAGAAACATTTTTACAAATGAAAACAAGCCAAGGTGCCTTGTCCTTTGTTATAGTCAATGGATTTTTGGTGCTTCTTGCAAACAGATATTGATAAAGTAGAATGTTAGTGTCCAAGGTCTCCTCAGATAGAATTAGAGCGTTTGACAAAATCAATAATCTGTCTCCCACTTACTGCAAAATAAACTTGTGGGGACAACGTCACCTATATTGACTTGCATGTGACTTAAAGGTCATGATGGTTAAAGTTATCAAACTTTCAAACATGCCAAATGTATCTAACTCTTAAACTTGTGTTGAGAATGAATATTTTATAGTACTTAGTTTGTTTCACTCTGGATTGCATATAAAGATTTTACCTCATATATGGCTCTGAAGCAACAATACTTTGGGGGTCTCGCAGTCCAAAACCTTTCCTTTATTAGCCTGCCGAGTCTCCCAAGTTATTTGAGGTCTCGTCCATTTATTTGAGCCACTATGCAAACTTGGTGGGATTCATGAAGTCACTTTCCTATATTATGTGGTGTCTCCCTAATGCACTGCTTTGCTCTAACCTTAGGAATATCACCTTTCCCTTACTTTGCGGGCATGGGGGAGGGGTGCTTGAGTTGAGTTTCTGGAGCTGGCATCATAACAGCCTTAAAGTTTTCACATGCCTCCTTCCAGGCATTATTTTAGGGTGGTGAATTACTTTCAAATTCACCATTTAATTCTGATGCACCATTACTTCAATTAACTCTGGGGAATGATTTTGGTGAACTCTGGAGAAATTAAAAATTATTATAAAAATGTTCTCCTTCTAAAGAAGAAAAATTGTCTCTGATCAGTTGGGTCAGTATCAGCCCAAAAGACTAATGGGAATCTATATAAAGGGTCGCTCAAATGAATGGTTTATGTCTCAGAGAAAGTCAAATTAAAATACTATAAATTACTTATCATCCCCACCCCAATGATTGACAATGGAAGCAATAGATTCCAAAACATGCTGGTGAAATTGAAGAGGAATTGGCAAATTCCTTTTGTTTGTTTTTTGGATACATTCATGAACTTGGCATAATGCAGCATATTCAGTTCATCACCAGCATTTTAATCGATCTACATCTCTTCAACGCTTTCTTAGGGCTCTCTGTGAAGATGCCCTTGATAGAAATAAGCATGCGCCAATTTATTAACTTCTGCTGTTCTCCACTTGATACTGCATTCCTATTAGATGACAGTCTGTTCTAGTTTTGCCACCTTGCATTGCTTCCACAGTACTAATTTTTCTTTTAAAACCACTGACCACATCAAGAGTCCAGGGTAAATTTTACACAACTGTGTTGTGGTTTCCTAACATGACAGAGATTTATTCAAAATTGCAAAGCATTTTACTGGGATATGAACACACCTATTGTAAAGGGCTAGAGCAACAAGTTGGGAAAGGCTGCAAGTTGTTTATCTAATAACAAACCTAATAGAAAAGATTGTTTAAAGATCGCTTTATGTCCACCACGAAGTGTGTGGTTGTGTTGAACCATTCTGCCCTTATTATAGACCATATTTCTCTTGCAAGGTGCAAGGACAGATGGGGGGGGTGATGTCCTTCCTTCTGTCAGCCAGAATAGTATGTTCAAGTCACATGCCCATTATGCGTAATACTGAACAAGCATGCCTTGTAATTTTCTGCAATTCTAATAGAGATACTTTGCAGGATCGAATCTGATTCAAAATAAAGCCAAATTAAACTACTTCCCTTCAAATTTTAAGATTTTCCATTTCTTCCTTTAACGATTAAATTACCATTGAAAAGGCCAACAATATCAGAAAGCAGAACTATTTTAGTTTAACATAGTGATTTAGCAAGAATTCAAAGGAAAATGACAAACATACATTCAAAGCAAGCAAATCAGCAGTTGAAAATGGTTAGTTATTCTTTGTACATTGAATAATTTTTTAAAAAAATAATAATTATCATCTAGTTTTCATAGTTGGGAATAAATCACAATTTTTTGTTAATATATTATTGAAAACGTTTTTTTTTACAATTGTTTATCAAATGTTAATATCATATATGCAATTGCAATTTGCAAAGTATGAGGATCTTTTGCATTGTATGAAATGTTAATAAATAGTCTCCATAGTAGTAATATAAAATACTGCAAAGAAATGGTGTCCCTCACTTGGTCACTCTCCAATAGACTACACCTGTGATATCACACACATCATCTACGACTCCCTCTGCAATATCGACACTGTAGAAGAAACACACTCCTTGTTGTAATATGGTTTGTGCAAGTCAAGCAAGTGTTAGAGAGGGTCTACTGAACATGGTAAGTTATTCAGCTGTGACTTTTAAATAAACAAATTCTACAGGTTATACTTTTACACTTTGCTGCACAATTAGTGCAACCAAAAAGGCAATGCTTTTTACTACAGGTCAATTTACAGTTGAGGGTTAGTGATGTGGCATATAGTGAAATTCAATAATTTGTATGAAATAAATACAACTAACTTTAATTTTTTAAAATGATGTACTGCAAAGCCACATTCGGTTAAGTCAGAAGAAGATACATTATTATAGATGATTTTGAGAATTCAGGAGTTAAAGAACAGTGTGACAGAACATGGGGGCTAGCCATGAATAAACACTTTTCAGCGGCTGATGTTAAAATGTGGTGCATGTGCAGGGAGAACACTGGAACATACCAGAACCAAAGGGCCCAGTGCTAAGCATCGTCGGTATTTTCAAGATGGCACCACCCATGAAACCATTAGAAATGTGGTCTATAAATTGAAACAAGTGTTAGTTTCATTAACAGTTCTAAAAACTGCAGAATCAGAGGCAGCTTAAGTATGTGCGAATATAAACAGCAAAACGTTAAATACCTTTTAAAAACAGTTCTAACCATATGCAAAACAGCCAAGGCTGGAAAATAACTAGGATGGAATTGCAAGTACTTGAATTTGGGGTTGAATTTCTACATCAATAGGATGAACTCTGCCTCTAATCTTCAAATAATTGTAAGCTTCACTAGTCAGTGTCTACTCTGTACAGCTGCTTGGGAGACTTCTCAAGAATTCTAAGCCAAATGTGCCTTTTCCATGGATTATGAATTCCTACTTGCAGCTCAAACACTGTTCATAAATTTAGTAGCACAACCCATGTAAAACACTATGAGTCTCGTCCTTAAGCAGGCTATCTTTTTTGCTGATAAACAAGTCTGCTTTTATTATATAGCAGAAATGGCAAATATGTGCAACTAAACAACTTTACAGAACAAAAGATAACGATTACACCAAGTATTTGCCATGATAAACAGACAATGCTCTTTGTCCTAAATGTATTAACCAAAAAAACTTAAGGAGTCAAAATGGATGATATTCCAAAACAGTGGAAAAAAATTACATATGAAGATTAAGTTGTGTTGTTAAGCACCACTCTGGCTTGCTTACCCAATGCTGTATCAATGTATAAAGCATTATTTTGGCATAAACACATTGCAATAATTTCACAACATTACAACATGGATTGTTAAATCATTAAGTACTTCAATCATGTACTTGGGGACTGTGAAAATTTATTTTGAAAGTTTTATTTGTATCAATTGTAAGTTCTATGCTAGATTTTGGCTTGGATTTTGTTGGTAGAATGGAGAAAGGGATTGCAAAGAACATGCACCACATTGAGATGTAGCGGCTTCTAAATCAACCAAACCAAATCAATCAAACCAACATAGTAACATTTTGTGACTTCTCTTATTTGAAGATCTGACACCACATATTGCTAAAGCTTTTTTAAATGTTTACCTCAATACAGTATTTTTACTCATATCATGTTTTGGCTATTTGATACTTGCCACCTCTTTGCAATTATGGGCCTGGAATAGTGAAAGATTTTGCTTAGCCTGGACCTTTGCAATGGTTAGTGACCCTCCACAAGCTGCAGATCATCCAGAACTCTGCAGCTCATGTCCTCTCACGCACTAGGCTCCTTGACCCCATCACACCCACCCTCTCCCAGCTTCACTGGCTCCCCATCCCTCAGAGGTCTGGTTCAAAATTTTTGCCCTCGCCTTCAACACCTTTCATGGCCTTGGCTCCTCCTACCTGCTAACCCCTTATCAACCTGTCCGCTCCCTCCGCTCAGCAGGCTCCGGCCTGCTCCATGTTCCCCACCCGGTCCACCCCACCATTGGCGGTCAGGCCTTCAGCTTCTCTGCCCCCACCCTCCCTGATCCCAACCCCACCTACACCGAGTCCTAATCCCTGACTGTTCAGCATCTTGAGACGTCCTCCCAATGTGAAAGGCGTTTTACAAATGTATTTTTGTATTATATTGTTAGCAATATAAAATAAAAAGAACATAACATACAGAACTTTCTGACTTTCTTTCAACCAAAATACATTAGTTTCAAAAGGCTACATGAATTGGATATTTTAGATCTATTCTGTTCATCAGTAACATTGTATGATAAGGATTTGTTGGAATAAATCAGCTGTAAAGAAAGTGTGTGATCTCTTAATATTTCTATTTACATTGCTTCTTTTGAGATCCCAGGCAGCTTTATGCACAAATAACTCTATGTACACTTTGTAACTAGTGCTTTTCATTTTTAACAGAAGTCTAAATGTGCTGTAAATATTGCAGTGAACAAGTTCAAAATACCCTAGTTTCTAGCCTCATTGTCATTCAAAACACCCAACTCAAATAGGTTTATACATCTTGATTAATTAGAATTCAAGCTTCAGTAAAATGAAATGAGCCTTAACCAATTCAAACAGCTGAAACAGTGAAGCAGAATGTTAAACATGATGTGGTACAGTCACACTTGCAGTGGTTCCTTACCTAAAACTCCGCTTGTCTCAATGGGATACTCCAGGATGGAAGTAGCTGGTCCCAGTGTGTAAGGATACTCATAGGGAGTATAGATTAGACCGGCTTCAGGTGCAGGAGGAACTATGGCATTCGGATGAGGAGATCCATTAGGCATGACTGTCGCTGTTTGAATTTGCCTAATTAAAGGCATAATAGTTGGACCAGCTGGTGTAGGGGCACGCAATGCAGATTGTGGAAGAACCGATGTGGGCCCCGTTAAGATCCGTGGAGCTTGGGCCGTCGCTGCAAGAGAAAAGGCAAGGGCAGCTACAGTAAGCGAAGAAAATCCACAGAGAAGACATGGAGAGAATGGTATATGTCGAGGGAAGGAGAATGGGAGTGGGAGAAGCAAAAAAGCAGGAATAAAAGAAAAGTGAAGAGGAAATCATTAGTACATGCAATGATTATTTGCAATGCTAAAGCACACCTTTAAACTCACAATTCAAACCCACTCCCATTTAAAGTAAATCAATTTAAAAATGCAAACTGAATAATTCAGGCAACTAGATTTTTTAAAACAAACATGCAAATAAGCTAATCAGAATCAATCACAACCTAGATGAAGCTATGCTTTTATAGCTGCTTCTCATTTTACCCAGGTATTGTAATCAAAGGGCATGTCTATGTTCAATTACAGACTTTATCGATGTGTATACATCTCTTCCATTTCCTCCACACATACATTATTTGGAAACTAATGCACACTATTTGGAAATTCCAGCCATGCTGGAGAAATCCTTGTAATGCCTGGACTTATCTTTAAAATCACTGCTCAGTGCATTTCCAATTTATGTCCTCAATGATACTAATGTGGGGATTGTTTTAGCCTGTGGTATATACCAGTAATGATGATATGGTAAAACTAACAATTTTTTAGTGAAAGCAACAACATTCTTTTTACTAGTGTGGGTAATCAACATGTTAACATGTACTGGTGCCCATGAAAGGAGATGGCAATCTCTTTACAATAATAAATACATTTAAAGGTGCTAAAAGGTCTGAGCTCTGAGGTTACGTTTAACTGAACAGATTTTAAATATACAAACACACTAACATACTGTGAATTATATCTATCTATATTGTGCCACCCTTTCATTGCTGGGGAAGACACTGTATATTTCAGAGTACTGTGCTCCAGACAAAACCCAATAAGCACTTGTACGTAGATTACATCATGATAAAACACTCAAAAACTTTCTACAGTGATTCATATTACAAACAGATTGGGGTGGGCTAGAAGAGAGTGAAAAACTCAGCACATTTATTAATTTCTTCCTGCAGTGTGCTTGTAAACTGTGCAAACAGCAGGATCATACACTGTGCAGATTATACTCACTAAATTTTTTAAAAAAATAACCGACGAATACTTACACATGAACAACAATGAATGCATAAGAGTAATCGAAGGGCTCAATGACACCAAAATGCAAATACAAGGCTCAACCAGTTTGCAATCAAGATGATCAGGTGCGATATCAAATGCAAGCCCCTAGATTACATGAATGACTACTATTTCTATTTCATCGGAAGGTTTTCTTTAATTTCTAGTCAGTTTTTCCCCCTTGCACCAGCTTCACCAAAGACAACACCAGCACACCTTTTTCCTTGAAACGTGTTGACATTCACAAAATAATTCAGAATTTATAGAAATCTGTAGTGGATTACTCTGTCCAATGAATATACGATTAAATATCAAAAAGTAGAACTCTTTTTCAAAAAGCAACCTAGACCAGTTGATTCCTGCAGCAAACAAAAACAGCCCTTTGGAGTAAAAGAGTTGCATGATATCTGTTGAAAAATATTTCCTCTTTGTGGTAGCCAAGCACTACAAAAGGCTGCTCTGTGTTACTTTAAACCGCCCACAGGATAAATGCAATAATCTATGCTAGTTCGTTTCATTAGCGCACAGCGCTCTATCAAACTGTCAAAAGGTAACTTTGTATTTCCCAATGTTAGCAGCCAGCTATTTCTCAGAACCCATTCTGTCAGTTACTTATACTGCAGAACAAACGATGGGATTGGATGGGCCTATCACTGCTTCTTTTTGTGTGAACGTTTAAGTACGATATTAGCATTCCCAAGGGGATTGCAAACTTTCCATCCAAGTTGAATTACTTAGACAAACCTGCCTTTGAGTGAACTAAGTAATCCTTTTCCAGGTTTAAACACACCTGGAAGAATAAAGCCACAGAACTTAGCTGTGGCAATATATCACCTTTTCCCCTTGGGCCCATTACGTAAAGTAGAAATGCTAATAGTTTTACTGTGTTGTCTGAAGAAGGACAAATACACAACAAACTGAGATTGCTCTCATGGTGGGCTCCTGAGGCCTATCTCGCCCTTACGTGATTTGATGTTGGCATCTCTATAGGTGCCGTTCAATATCGCTAATTCCATCAGCTGCATCTTCTTAAGGTTATCCTCTCCCTCTGCCTGAAAAACACACAGGGACAATAATAAAATTCAGCAAAATTGCACAATGGTGACCCATGTTGAAGGGCTTCGGATAAATGAAGCACAGAAATGCAAATCTTTTAAGATTACAGTTAAAGGTAATAACAACAATAATAATAATCCTTGCATTTGATACAACGCTTTTCATGTCTTCTCGACGTCTCAAAGCGCTTCACAGAATATACTGTAAAGTGAATTGACCGTACATTTATGGGTGAAACGCGGCAGCCAATTGCGCACAGCAGTGTCCCACAAACAGTCGTGGATCAAAAATGACTAATTTATTATTGTTTTTGTTTTGTTGGAGGAATTATTATTAGATTATTATTAGATTATCACATTTCTCTCTTTTCAAACATCATGGCAGAATTGAGAAGATATAACTGGTATCCATGTTGAACTCTAGATCACAAAAAATGTTAATACAGCAATTTAAAATGAAGCAAGGAGACCATCAGAAATTCACGTAGTATAAAAGATATAACAATTAACTTGAAGTGGGATATCTAAACCCAAATGGAATGAAATTGACTTCTTAAGTATCAGACTACATCAGCCCTACCGAATGATAAATAGCATCCTAAATGGAAATCCTAGTCTGTTCTTCAGTCCAACGTTTCAGTAAAAGCACTATTAATGCAGCATTATCCAACTTCTAGGAGACTGTTACTTATTTGATCGAGAATAGAACCAGAAATATTCAACAATAATTTCTCCCATCTCTCTGGTTTTGCATTGTTTGTTGCTCAGGAACCGAACTTAAACCTGGGTCTATGATATTCTTGAAGTGGCAATAAGGTAGTACTGTATATGATATTTCTTTCTCTTTATATTAACTTTCCTTGAGAGGTCTGGTCTTCATTCATTATTTCCTCATAGTGAGACAGGGAAGTTGCTAAATAAGAGAATCAAACCAAAGATATTTGTAACATGTATCGACAATTCAGTGTCACTTCTGCAAATTAGCAGATGTGACATGACTGCAGATATATTCAGAACATATTGCTTAGTTGTTCTAACCAGATACAAAGTTCATACATATTGCAATCTAATTTACATCGCTTAACAAGATTCTTACGTAACAGAAATTAAATTCCACAAGTATCCTGGTAGCTTAGTTAGTAAATGTATTGGATGGTGTGGCAATGAGCCATACAGATCAAACATATTCAAATGCCTGGCCTATATTGCCAAAACCCTTAACTGTTTCAGCTGCATTTACTGCTTTTTCTCTTTAGGCATCCTGAGTGTTATAACGTTATGCAATGTAAATGCACTTAAGCCCCAGTCATATGGCGATCTTATGTGTTCCCAATAATCAGACAAGTATACTGTACTTTATTTGTTTGGCAAGGAATACATGCTTTTTCCCTCCAAGGATGCAAGGAATATGATACGCTAAATGATCTCTTACAATGCCCTAGGCCTAAGGAATGAACTTTCCTATCAGCATGGAGTGGGAAAAAGAGAATATATTGGAGTCTAATCTAAATGAAAGATTCTTGAAGTATTGAAAATGAATTGAACTGAGTATTTAGTACAATATGAGTGAGGCTGATTCCTCCCCACACCCGTAACCTTTGGCCCTATTTGATTACATTCTTTTAGCGCAGGCCTACAGCTAAACCTACATTTCTTGCTTTCGAACTGGCCCTGTTTCTATTTACTATTTTGCAGCTTTGATCCAAACAGCTTAGTGCAGTTTTGATCAGATCTTTATCCAGCTGCTTAGAAAAGTTATCTGCAGCACCTTAATTGCCCCCAAATGTTAGGCATGAATAGCAGCAGGGCTAGATCTGCTTTTAATACAAACTTTCTCAAACAGAGTTTTGCATTTTAACCTTTTTTTTAAAATTTAACACAAGAAAAGTTTGGAGAGGCAGACATAATCAAAGTAGTTCAGTTGCTGATAGCATCACAATGCAAAGGTGACAAAAACACTTTAAGAAAAACATCCAAACTGCACTGAATTAATTTTAAATCATTGCATATGAAATATTAAACTATTTTTATTTTAAATTGCATTCAAAACAATTTAACTACGACTTGGAAAACCAATAAACAATGGCAATCATTAGGGTTTCTTTGTTCTGCAAAGTCCAAATGATTTTGCTCTGTTCAATGTTGTTACTTGGGATCTTATGGATTAGCTTGGGCTCTTAGTGGAAAGCAGTTTTTAATAAACAAATAATGGCACACAGAAAATACTGTATATGCATACGATATATTGTGACACTGCTGCTGGTTAGAACCTATGCAATCTACCATATTTGTTGCAGGCAAATCCTGAGCATTTAAACTAACTAATTTTTTTTTAAAAAATCACGCAGATTAACCAGCATTTCTAAATCTCTCCCAGATCCTGACAAAACTGCCAAGAAAACAGCTGCAGCTCAAAGGTAAACAGACCATTCTGGCATTTGATTGGACTCTTGAACAAACACGACAGACAAGCCAGCATTCCCGTCAATAGGGAAGCTGAACAGCAGCACTAAAGCTAGTTGCATAATTGAACTTGCCAGCAACTACATCTTGAACATTTTAGATAGTAGTTTGAGCAGTAGCTAATAGTGGGAGTGTTTATTTAATGGTACACACTCTTTTGATTTAAACTGGGTTTATATTTTCACAAAACTGCCAGCAGACTTTGGCTACTGTTACATCTTATCTGTTTTCCATTTTAATTTTGACTGTGGCTTTTGCTCCTCACACTGGAGATGCGTTTCACGTACTTTTGCCTCTACTTTTGCAAGAGCTGGCAAAAGTGAATATGACACTCACTGTCAAGGCTCACATGTGGTCAGGGCGAAATGCCAGAGGATATTCATGGCCTGTTAAACTATCCCCGAAGCAATCAAACAATTATTTGTAAAAAAAAGGGGGAGTGAGAAACATGGTGGAAACAACTGGTGAGACAAAAAATAATTAAAACTAAATATGATTAATGGATTCCTCTTCTACTCTGCAGATAATTGAATCTTGGAAATCATTATAACTGGGCTTAATTCGATCCAGTTTCCAGCAGGGATTTTGCAGAGCATTCAGGAGCAGAAACCCAGAATTCTTCCCCCCTCCCCCTATTTGGCCTGAAGATCGGAATTTAATTCTCTTGCACTGTCTGATTTATTAACTCCTTGGCAGTTCCACTGAAAAGAACAGCAGCACTCTTGGTTTTCAAAGGGATCAAAATTACGATGTATCAAAACAGTTTAAGAGTGGAGTTCTGAAATACACTCTTTCCCTCCACCCTTCAAGGTGAAATTTGAAATATTCCTCTCCCTACCACACAATTATAGCACCACAAACTGCCTGCAAAACTGTAGAGCATTTGGAGTTTACACTTTGCTTGCATCACTTTTGAACACTCAAAACAATAGTCTAGGTGTTGTTCTGGAAAGATGAGATCAGATCAGAGGGTCTTCTTCATCCAAACCAATCTTGTGATCTTGTGAAAACAGCCTTTCTGACCTTGTTCAAGTGATACTGATTGTAATCAGATCAGGCTGTATCCTATGAGTAAGTCCAAAGAGGCCATTTGTCATGCTCAGATGCAGCAAAGAAGGCTTTACTGCAATCTTCAAGGTCTTGTTGGAATCTTTAGGCCAATCCAAACAAAAATATAATCGACTATTTGTAAAGTAACATATTAACTCCCTTCACAGCGGTGACAACGATCTTTTAAGTACGAGAGCAGCGTGTGCACTAACAGGTCTGGGCGCTGCTCCATAGTCATTTATAATTTTGGCGGCAATTTCTATTTCTCCTGTTAAGCATCATTAAGGTAGTCAAATTTTATAGCAAGTTCATTTAAAAGAGAATCTAATTCTTCAATGGCCAGAAATTGAATACAACAATCTCACCCGCTCAGATAACATTTGGTAATTCAATTACATATACATATCCCAACACATATGCTCAGAATCACTATTGTTGTCAGTCTTTTCAGGGCTCACTGAAAAGTGCAGCATCTCCTCTGAGCTCAATTCATGCAACAACTGATTAATTGACAGTTTGGAATCAACAGCAAATGCAAAGCAAAAACTAACCATCAGTGGATGTCATTGGTTACCATTTCCATAACAGTCTGCAGCTTGAGCGGAGCGGATAAAATCCCAATCATTGACCTTTTCAACCTCAATTAGCTAAATAACCTCACTGAGCAATCAGAATTCGGAGACCAAAANTAAATAAAAGGATAGAAATTCACTACCCGGCCCAGGAGATGGCAGTGTTCATTGTACAAAGTACAATCTATTGCCATGACAGGCGGTTATCTCATCTCTACTAGCATCACTATGCTGTATCACTCACTGGGTTAAATCTGATGGCATATTGAATATCTTGTCAAAGGTGCCTGGCTCTTTCTTTCAGCTGTCAGCTCCAAAGGTGTATTGAGGACTCTCTGCATACCCACACAGCCTGTACTATTGACTCATACATCCACCGTTGTCACGGGCCTCAATTTCTCATCCACCAACACCCAGCAGCATGAAAACCTTAAGCTATTAAAGAAGCCACTACATTTTCCTATTACACTCCCTCTCCCCCCCCCACTCCCTGCACACACACAGCTGACAGCTGATCAAACCAAGCAACCCACTGCAATCTATCTCCCTCCAGGCATTCCTGCAGGCTCGCTTTCACAACAGAGAAAGGTTGAGCAAGGTCTTACAAAAGGCCTTGTCCTTAGAGAGAGTACCACCTGCACAATATATGAAACAAAGCACTGCTATTTGTGCTTTAGTAAGAGCTGCTCCAAGTCAACATGAATAAGGCCATTTCAAGTTCAATTTAGTTACGACCGTCACTCAGCCCTTTCACAGAGGGCATGGGTTCAGTTTACTGTTTATTCAAATTCATCTATTCCGAATTCTCTTCAGTCCTCAGAGAACTTAAGTTCCTTCTTAAAAATACTTGATCTGTAAATGGTAAATGTGGTAGTTGTATGAATCTGAGATATATGCCTTCAAATTCACATT